GGTTGCATATTTATTGTCTTATTCCCTTAACTTTACCCACACATTGTTGCTGTTGAGGAGAGACAAGTTCTGAATGATGTACTTTCATTGGAACAGACACTTAGGTTTTAATTTCTTAGAAAATACATCCCACATGGAGGCTTTCTACAAAAATTAGGCTGATTCCCTAAGTGCTTGTCACAAGCCATGTAGCCCTGTAAAATTAACTGAGCACTTACCATACACACATATATTTCCTTTTATGAGACACTGATATTTACAGTTTCTGCWCAAACCTGCCCCAAACATGAGACCACTCATGCCCTGTGCAAGTCATGACAGTTTTGGATGCACTTGCACATTTTGTAGAGAATCTGTGGCACCAGAACAGRACTTTTTGTTTCCCAGCAGGATGCCCATAGCATGCAGAGATCCCAGGGAAGGTCTGGGTGGCTCCTTTCTCAGGAACAAGCCACGTTCAATGAGTCCCATGGAAAGTGTTGATGGTGAGGCTCCCTTCTCTCGCCCTCAYCAAGAATGGGGAAAGAAGTTCGGGCTAAACTGTGATGTAGCAGCTTTGTCAACAGGCTGGGATTTATGGTGCTTTAAAGAAGAGTTTTATTAGTAGTACTGCTGAGAAAACAAGGAGCCGTGCCTTGAAATGCTTCCCTTGGCTTCCAGCAGCTCCGAAGTTTAACTGTGGCTGTCCCTGCTTTGCAACGGGACCGGCTGGTCGCTCCCTCGCTGGATCATAGACGGTTGGTGTTTTTTCTGAAAACATTGCAATAGTCTGTGGAAACTGAGGTTTGCAAAACGTTGCAGGTCAGCAGATTCTTCCTGGAAGAGGAGGTGCCTAATATCCCACTGGCTGGCTGGATGAAGTTATGGCCTAGGRGTCTGCCAGGGAGGAAGGAAACAGAAACTGAAATGCAGTTGGTTTTTTTAGGGGGTAAGAATATGAGGCTCCAGAGAGACCTTAGAGCACCTGCCAGGACCTAAAGGGGGCTACAAGAGAGCTGGAGAGGGACTTCTCCCAAGGACATGTAGTGACAGGGCAAAGGGGAATTGATCTAAACTGAGAGAGGGTAGGTTTAGATCAGATGTTACAAACAAGTTTTTCATTGTGAGGGTGGTAGGCACTGGCACAGGCTGCCCAGAGAAGTTGTGAATGTGCCATCCCTGGAAGTGTTCAAGGCCAGGTTGGATGGAGCTTTGAGTAACCTGGTCYAGTGGAAAGGCTCCCTGCTCACTGCACAGGGTTTAGAACTTTATGATCTTTAAGATCCCTTCCAAACCAAGCCATTCTATGATTATTTCCAAGCAAACAATGGAAAAATTTAGCTGAAATTAATCTTGACCACAAGCTGATTGTTGACCAATTCAACATATACTACAGTAAATGTGATACTAATGAAGATTCAGCAGCACAGATTAAAACAAAACCTCCCTTAACACCTTTTTGCTTTCTCTACAAAGAACAAACTATGAATTWTACAGTCTACCACTGTATTTCATCRAGCAGTCAAAACCAGGCACTGGTTCACTCCATTTTGGGCCATTCACATGTAAATGTTCATGCCTGTTTTCTGTACCACTCAGAACACTGCCACAAAAGAGCAAAGCCACCTTCCCCAGGATGCTGCCTCATGCTCCTGTGTATACAAACCCTGCTGTCTCAAGTGATGAGGGGTGTGTTTACTCACAGAGGGTCTGTGAATCCCACTGGTGTGCAGCCTGGAGGGGCTGCCTGGCACAGGAGAGTGCCTGGGGACMTCTCTCCAAAGCTCTGGTCTCACCAGCCCTTTCCACAGGCAGAGTAACAGCCTCAGGGTTTCACTTCAGACATGGAGAATGGTTTCTGAATCAGAAACTTCACTTTTTTTCTTGATGTCTCAGCAGGTCCAGTGGAARACCATGTCATTCCCAAACTTTGCTTTCTTCCCCCAGCTTTAAATGGCTCAGTGAAAGGGAAACTCCTGCAACTGCAAAAGCCACGGGAGAATGGAGTTGAGCAAGTGCTAGGGGAAGTTTTGACAGTCCTTAGGATGCAGCTGAGGGTCAGCTGCACATCTCACTGAAACTGAAGCTATTGCATTTGGCACAAGGAGAGAGGTGCTCCCATGTCTGCACATCCCTCATCCCTCCCACACGCCAGACACTGCACACAGTGAAGAGGGTCTGCTCAGGAGGCTGAGCAAACAGAAAATGATGCTGTGTCTGGGGGGGTGCAATGCCCTCCGGGCAAAGTGACAAACCCCCTGTGCCACAGGCACCCAAATGTGAGGTCCAGCACACCCTGCAGAGCTCACAGCTGGGTCCAAGGGCATCACCAGCTTTGCAGCATCTCTTAGTCACACCAAACCAGGTCTGAATGGAAGGGTGGRAGGCAAAAGTTGTTTCAAATCCCTCTGCATCACATGCTGGCTCAGGCAACGGTTTATCAMAAGATGTTACACTCCTCTTGTGTAAGAAAGACTCCACATGGCCTCTTCCTGTGGCTCACCATCTTTTTATGCTTTCCACAGTGCCAATCTTTCTCCAAGTTGCTCAGACTTACAGGATAATGCCCTGCAGGAATCGAACTTCATCTCAGGAGCTCACAAGGTAAAAAACAACTGAAGTAAAAAACAACAAATCAACCCCCTTGTAATAAACCGACAAGAGACAAGTCCAATGAATTTTGTAGTCTCCTGCTTCATTAACTCCYTAACTCAAAAATCACTGAGTGCCATCTGTACACAAGCTGAACTACAAGACAGTGCAAGTGCAGACCCTCCTGTCCCCCTCCCCATCCCAGACAGTGGTGGGAAATAGGAGAACCTCAGCAGTTCAGCTGCTCTTGGGTCAGCGTCAGAGGCTTTCTGGAGTAAGCTGACCCGTGGCTACCTTCCAGCTTGGACACGTGCTTTGTGCCATTTCTATGSCAGTTTTATCCTAAGCTTCCAGCTTCTGCCAGAAAACTGCAGGGGATGATGGACCTTACTTTCTCCTGTCCCTTGTGCCTGGCACACGTGGTGTCCTGGCTTTAGTCCCATAGCACTGCTCCCAGTGTACACAAGGAGCACCTGAGCAGGAGCTAAGTGAACAGCCACACATGAAGTACTATGAAGTTAATCCAGCATTAACCAAGGTATTGGCAGAAGGATATCTAACAACATATTTGCAACAGTATTTTAGACTTGTGAAAAGTTTTTCAATGTATTCATGTTATTTAGCAGAATAAAATGTACTGCAGATTAAAAAGGGTCTTTACTACTTAATAATGATGATGTTTTTTAAGACAGATGGGAGCAGGTATTGAGAGAGAGTCGAACCAGGAGAGATGATGTGTGAGATGGGRAAGCTGTATGGCTCCACACCTGCTGCATGTACATGACCAAAAGTCCCCTTCAGAGGCGAGCTTTGCTTTTCCATGGCAGTCTSATGACTCAACAAGCTCACCCGGATGCAAGGTCCCCTGGTGTTGAACCTCCACTTTTCTGACCTAACATGGCATAAATAAATCAGCTCTCAACAGTTCAAATTCTCGAAGGCAATTTTTTGCCTCCTGCTTCCCCTCTTGACATTGATTACTCAAGCAAAGCCTGAAGACAGCAGATACAACACTCGCTGCCTTTGCACCTCTCCATGTGGATGGTTTCCCTGCAGGCATGTCCCAAGATCTCAGAGGATTTCTGGCAGCACAGCAGCTCACAAGAGCTGCACTGAGAGACATGGCAAGGAGTGAGAGGACACCTTCTCCCATCCTACTGAGCACACAAGATAAAGCAGGCTACTGGTCCCCAGGTCGTGCTGGCAGCAGTCTCACTATGGAGAGAACATTCGTGAGATAAAGATCCATCAGAGGAGGAAATTGTGCCAGRGTCCTGCTTGGGGTTGAGCAATCAGGTGTTTATCACCTGTCTCCTGGGAGAGGAGGCACTCACTGCACCCACTTCACSCAGCCAAGGACAACCTCAGCCGCACCAGCTCCAAGGACAATCTGTGCCTACACAGCCTTGGCTTTCTGCCCTGGGTTTTCCTCCCAACGAGGTAGGCAGGAAACTCCCACCCCTCCCACCCCTCATCGAACAGATACAGACAGAGTGACACTTTACTGTGCTCTGCCAAATCCTTCCTTTATTGCCTTGCTGCACCCACTGTGCTTCCCCGCGGAAGTGCAGGGGAAAAAAATGATTGTGCCAGCTCTAAGCAAATAAATTCAAGTTGCCTTCTAATAAATACTTCAGTAAAGCACAATAGAAATGCATGTTATGGTGTACATGAAATCTGTGCTTTCCTCCATTTTCCTCTCAAATAGTTTTATTTCTATTTATATATATTCCCTGCAAAAAGTGGTTAATAGCATGGCAGCATTTGTGGGGGAAATGAGCTCTGACAAAGCTGAAAACCTGTTTAACAAATATTTGGCTGTGCTGCAGCATGAGAAGAAACACAAAATACCCACAGGTTTTTCTACTAAGCAGCCACCTAACACTGTCRAAGTTTCTCCTCCAAGCAGTCTCCTGGTGCTATGTATGTGCTGCTGCTTGCAAGGTTAACTTGGAGATAAAATTATTTCCCTTCAAAATAGAATCATAGAATCCTTAAGTTTGGAAAAGACCTCCAAGATCCCTGAATCCAACCATTAACTCAGCACTGCTATGTTCACCACCATACTACGTCCMTAAGTGCCATTCTCACACCTTTTGAACACTTCCAAGGATGATGACTCCACCCCTTCACTGGGCAATCAGTTTCAATGCCTGACCACCATTTCAGTTAAGGAATTTTTCCTAATAACCAATCTAATCCTCCCCCGTGTAACTTGAGGCCATTTCCTCTCCTCCTATCACTTGTTACCTGGGAGATCAGACCAACACCCACCTGGCCACAAGATCCTTTCAGGGAGTTGTAGAGAGTGAGATACTTTTCATTCAGAGCTGAACTCTCTGAGTGCTTTGACGTCAGTGGAGGAAAGAAATGGGCATGACACTGCTTTCCCCCACTGCCCACACAGCCTGTTGCAGGCTTGGCTCTGTTCTTTGTGCTGTTGATACAACTTATTTTATATTAGTTATATTTCCTTGTTCGTATACCTGTCACAGACAAGAAGCTTCGCAATTTGGAAGAACTGTGTTTTGCAGGTTTAAGTATTTTTGGAGTAGGTTTTTGATTTTGTTTTGCATTTGTTTTCCGCTCCAGAAATTACAGCTGTATTGTTAGAAGCTTTGAACTTGGCATGAATGTGGTTTCTTTGTTTTTGGTCTTGCTTCAGTTTCTTTTAAGTGTATTAGACCTCCTTCTGCTTTGTTCAGACAAAATCACTTGGGTACAGCTGCTCGGAAGTGTTGTTTTTTGGTGTTTTTTTTTAACCACCACCACCCTGGAAAATTCTGTAAAACCAATGAGGTTTTCTACAATTTTCATTGTAATTCTGGTACTGCATTCTGGTACTGCATCTAGCACACTGTGTTAAAATTTGCTCTGGCCTTTTGCCTCCATCACAGACTACAGGGTGCCACTGCAGGAAAACCAAAATCACCTTTTCAGTATACCAGGAGCCTTCAACTAGTAAATAAACTTCACACTATCCACGGCCGGCTAACACCCTCATTTTCTTTGACAGTTTTYTTTTGAAGCTCCAATGGAGCCTGCCTCCTGGTATTTGCACAGTGCAATGTTTAGTTATCAATTAATGGCCCTCTCCTAGCTTTTGCCAAATGGAAATAGAAAAGGAGTGCTTTTTTTTTTTTTTTTTTCCCTCCACATCATGTCACCAGTGGCTGGCGAAATGCCTGACCTAGTGCCCTGGTGCTCAGACTCCCTGGCAGCCAGGCAGGCTGGCACGGGCACTGGGGCTGTTTGCACAGCACTGCTTCTGCAGCATATCCTTGGGAATACAGGGAGGGAAAAACATAACTCCCTCGCATYAACAACATCATACTTACCAAGAAATACAGATAGGAGAATGCAGGCACAGTTTGCYTTGGCTGACCCTCCTCTGGCGAGTCTTTCCCCTGGGAACCGCGACTGTGACAGATCCCATRTGCCACTGTGCTCAGCAGGCTTCTAAGGCAAAGATCCAGGCCTGCCCTGCAGGGCTTCCAGTGCCTTGGCAGCCTCTCCCTTCATCCYTGCAGGTGTAGCACCCTTATTTCTATAGGGCTAATCCTGGACAAAGAGCTGCTGTTGCTTTGATACACCCTTTTACAAAGTACACATAGGCAGGAGCACACACAGGCAAGCGCTGGTGTTAGTTACAGAGCTTTCTGTTTCACTGAGCAACTAGCAGTGTTTCAGTTTGCCATTGTTAGACACATTTGACCTTCCTGCTGCCTGACAAGCATTTGTTGTCTCAGCATCCTGTGGTGGAATACTTGGAAAAGGAAGAGAAAGAGAAAGGCAAGGTTTGATAGTGGAGAGGAAACTTTAAGAGGGCATTGTCTATTTAGACAAAAGCACACTAATAAAAAGCTGATACTCAGAGACAGGTGTATTTGAAAACCTTTTAAGCAGCAGTATCTTAATACAGCAGAGTSTCTTTGTGAAGATTTGGAATAGAATAGATTGGGAATGAAGGGAGGAGATGCACATATATCTGCCAGCAGATCCAAACAGGAAGGTGCCAGGAAGCAGCTCAGCCTTTATCTGTCTTCTGCACTTAAAAAATTATTCATTTCCATGTATTAATCATAAAATGCTCACAATTAACACCCCTGGTATTAGCCTGGAATCCAAAGCTTTCTCAAGTTTTCAGGCAATGAACCTAAAATACAGCTACGTTGTATCTGTGTAAAATGTTTTTTTGAGATTAATTTGGAAAACTCCCACAGAAAACATGAAATTATATTCAAATTTAGGACATGAGGACTATTATAAAAAATTAATTTTTACTCTATTTAGCTRCACCTTTTTCTTCTTCTCATTACAAGACAAACACTTGAGACAAAGAGCCTTTGGAAAGAGAGCATTCAAAGGCATTACAAAACATGTGCTCTTCCCAAATCTTAAAAAACACTTAAAAACACTTCAGTATGTTTTATATACAGATGAATAATTTTTGCCATCTCTCTAAAGAAATACTACTATTATTAAGAAACTGATCCATACTAATTGCATCATGACTTTTTAATTACTAGTTAATGGCTAAAAAAAATGTCCAACATGAAGATGGATGCATTGAAYTATCCTTCTCCAAAATGCAGCTGTTACATAATCCATCAGAAACTTACTGGTTTTCATTTTTAAACTGCTTTTCTTCAACTTAATGCTTTCCCCCCCAAAAAAAACATAAACCCTATTTAAGATTAACTTCTGTGTAAGGGCCATTTAGTTGGCCTGCACTTGCTATTTTTATTGTTTCTAGGCATCCCATCCAGTGAGACTGCAAATAAAACCAGTAGGCTTGAGTCAAAACAAGCGGAATTAAAAAACAAAAATCAAAAAATATCAACAGCTTGCATGATGAAGTTGTAGCTCAGGGTCAACCACTGGTCACACACACTCGGCAACAGCTCTGGGGTGCTCTGTTTTTGTTTGAAGTCGTTAGTCTGTGTTCAAATCACTGTTGACAAACAAGCTCAGCTCACTTTGTGCATGCAACTTTACAGAAGCCTGTCTTCTTCACATGGAAAGCACYTGCTGCAGCAATCCCAGCAGCAGCAAAAGGTCTTAAATAACTCTCTATTGACTCCTTATTGTAGACCTCATGCTCAGAGTCCTCAATGATCCTAGATATCCCAGGATAAAAATAGATACTGCAATTCTTTCATGCAGCAAGCTCCAACTCAAACTGAAAACTCCCTTTGTAATAAACCAGACCATCAAACATGTACGGCCAGATTTTATTTACATCCGGAAATCATTTTGCATTTTAACATGTGCTGCCACTAAGAGACACCTGTGTCATAAAAAATCTTGGGTTCACAGTCTACAGAGCTTCACAGAAGTTTGCTGATACTACACAGGACCAGCAGAGCAGCTTCTCTTATTAACCTTCTATGCAGATTGAAGTTATTCACAGATAATCAAAACTTCCACTGAAGGATCATCTCAATTGCATGATTTCAGAAACAAGAATGTCTTCACCAGCTTTTATAAATAAACTATATAAAGCAGCTATGCTTATATTAAAATTTTTCCTTATTAAAATATTTACATCTTAGTTAATCTAAAATTTAGTATAGTGAYTTCAACTATCTGTTCTCAAAAGGCTCTTCTACATTTTTGAAGTCTTTTTGTTTCCACAGATTTCCAAGCACAATCCCTAYGAAGAGCAGAATTCCTACAGTACGATTTGAAGAAAATTTCTTCCAACAGTCTTCAGGCTTGTCTATGTCCAAAGTGTAGATCTGCAAAAGCAACAGTGCAACATTACAGGATTATTATTCTACAGACTCACAAACATCTGACACAACACCAAATGGTCTGCAACTAAAGAAAGTTATTCTTAAATTCTGAAGTCTAACCTTATGTCCACAAGGAAAAGGATTACTCTGTGCTTAAAAAAGTTTTTGCCTAAGTGGCATCTGTGTTCAACAGATTTATTAAACAAACAGCAGAAAAGTCAGGGATTACTTACGATCATGATTCCCAGTCCATCTCAATRGAAGACTATATAAAACAGCCTGGTTACTGGTGTGCCTGGTTTGATATTTAAAAGTGCAAAAATAGGCATGTAAACAAGTCTCTTTGAGATTTTMCTCAGTAGGTTGCCACCTAATTCTTCAATGTAACTTTAAACAAAAGTAAGGCCCCCAGAACATGCCCTGTTCCATCTCTGTCCATGTTTCAATAGTGACAAGGTACTGGAGAGYCAGCAGTGAACCAGGTTAACTGGAAAGCATGGKGAAGTGCCAGGCCCTGCCTTGCCACAGAGGGCTGGTTCAGTCCAGTTGCTCTTAGCAATGTTCATTCACTTCCCTTCCAAACAAGAACCATGACACCTGCAACAGCAGCCAGAAGCAAGGCTTGGCTTACCCAGCAAGGCAGCCCTCTGCTGCAAGTAACAACTAAAAGAAAAAAAAATCCCACATGGTATATAGCAAGAGCAAAGTCACTGAAAAATATTCCTAAAACCAAAATTCAGTACAAAAGTCTTGAGAAGGGTAACAAGAGGAAATGTTGAGCAAAATAGAGAAGGAGCCCCTAAAACCTCCAACCTTGCACTTCAGCCTTTGAAAAAGTTAAAACAGAAAGTATTCAAAAACAGAAAGTATTCAACTGAAAGAAGTGAAACCTTCCCCGTGAAGCCTGCTTCATTTGTGGTTGTACGAAGAAATCAGGGCTGGGTTCTAACAAAATAATCAAAACCACTCTTCACAGCCCTCCAAGATATGATGCGACTCGTACCCTTAAGAACCCAKCAGCCTCCCAGACACTGGGAACTTGAAGCACTGAACTGACCAATTAAACTCAACAGCAGCCAAGCCATTCTTCCMGAAACACAAGCAAAGTAAAAGATGTTATTTTTCTATTGGCATACTTTTTGAGAGGGATATAATTGCACATCATCATAGTTCAAATTCTTCTGACTCAGGCAAAAATTCAGTGAATTAAGGAAATCCTGGAAATCCTGGTCCTCAAGCATCTTACTTAGCTTTCTAAACTCAGTTAAGCACACAATCAGAAATCTTGAACAAGATAACCATGAAAATGTTTAAGCAGGACAAATATTAAAATAATCACTCAAAAATAAGWTACTCTGTGGTACACTGAACAGTTCTGTTCTTGTGACCTTGGCAGTCCATGCAATTATGAATTYCCCATCACTTACACTCACCAGGTCTGCATCCTCACTTATAAAAATCCTCAAAAGTGGTTTCCAGTCATGCCAGAACTACAAGATCAAGCMTGTCTGACAATTCAAACTGTAAATRATCATGCAATAGATGTAGTATTCTTTACCCCATACATTTCCAAACACAGTCACTAYGAAAACAGTGGCTGAGTGCCAGACTACATCACCACAAGAATTCCCTTACTCAGAGATATGTTGAATTAYGTCCATGAGCTCCACCCATTAAAATTCAACATACAACCAATGTGCTTCATAAAGTTCCATATTACTACTGATGTAGCTGCTCAGATTGGCAATGGTTTTACTATTCACAGTGCACAAACCTCTGCCATCACTTACCTATCAAGATCAGCAATTAATTTTTGAATAGACTGATTTGTCACTACTGTGTAACACAGTTGTTAGGATTCAGAAAGGACAAGGTAACAAGATCCTATCCATCCTTTACTGACAAAGCTACTTTCTTTCCTTCTGCTATTCATTAAAATTTCTAAACTCATGCAACCACAAGACTAAACCRGATTGTTCTCTGCTATAAAAAGAAYGCGCAGTTAGAACTGTCAATTTTGAAATTATAATATTAACATCTGCTACTATATGTGCCAGACACTGCAAGAGCTGAATCAGAACAGTCAACACCTCAGTAKTTTGCAGCATATTGAGGTGGATCTAGCATCAGCTGCTGCTGGGAGCAAGGAGAAAACCACTTTCTTGAGAACACAGCTTAATGTGTGGCACTTCCTTTGGTTTCAGAACAGACTGAAACCCAGTGTTCCACTGGGTTTGCGGTCTCTTCAACCAAAAGGTCTGTAAAAGGTACTTAAGAGGAGAAAGCCTACTGTCAGAAGACATCAGTTCTCCTTACAGGAACTGTTTTTTCATGGGTAGCTCATAAACTGATGGGGGTTAAAAAGTGTTCTGGCTTCTTAGTAAGAACTTCCACACAGAAAACTGTATAAATAAATCCATCAAACCTGGTGTGCCAGGTGAGCCCCAACAGCAGCCACAGCCGAGTAATAYGGGAAGGTTTGATTGCAATTCATCCCTGCCACACACAAGCTCAGGAGCATGGCCAGGCTGAAGCCACTGAGCCACTGTTTTGTGTCCTCCTTGAACTGCAGTGCAGTTGACTTCACACCRATCATGATGTCGTCCCTCTTATCCTGGAATGAAAGGATGAATTACCAGAAAATCCATAATCCAACATCACTTCATAAGGAAAATAAAAAGGGGGGACTTGCTTAAATTTCCAATGCTTCTTAGGAGGAACCCAATTTAAGGGCAGTTGTAGGCCCTCATACTAAAATTTAAAGGTCTTAGAGCTGCTTTATCAGCCAAGAGTTAATACCAATGTCAAAGTTACTTACACAATGCAAATGCATAAGAGCACAAAGGGCATTTTACATCCACCTTTCTATCAGATATGTAAAACCTTGGCAAACAGCAATAAAACAGGGGCTGGGATTTCTTTGGTTCTGTTTTAGCTCACCTGAAGGTGAAGAACTGCAAGAGCTTAGTTCTGCTGTTTGACAAGATATTTATAAATGAAACACACAAACTTGTGTGTATAAACACAGGTATCTGAAATGTCTCACTACCTGATGTGCATAAATGGTGTCGTACACGAGCGTCCACATGACTCCAGCAAAGTACAAGGGCAAACACACAGACCACTCACACGACCCTCTGATGGCAGACCAGCCAAGAAGGGCTCCCCAATTAAATGTAAGTCCTAAAAACATAAGGAGAATTAAAAAAAAAAAAAAAGAAAGAAGTTAGAAGAATGACAGCAGCAATTAAATATTACTTGTTTCAGAGTGTATCATATCAGCAGCCTTTTGTGCAATACCAGTGTCTTTATTTTTCTACCACTTATTTTCAGACAGATAATAAATGTACATAATTTGACATTAAATACTTTGGGCATACAAGGAAAAATACATATGCCACACATTTTCCCCTAAYTTGAATTTGATTTCATTAGTGCAGGGAAACATTTGCACAGAACTATTCCAGAATACTCAAACAACAGGCCTGAAGGTAAAATGCTTAGATGTCAGTGTAACAAAAGATGTCAGCATAACTGGATGCAAAACAGTACACAGCAGCCAACTATGGTCCTTCTAAGCTGAAAACTGCAAGCTTGGTAAAAAACCCTGAAGACAGCTGGAATGTGAAAGCCAATATACACAGGTATGTTTCAGTAGCACAGCCTAAAATACAAGCACCATCAGTATCTGCYCAGGAGTTATTTTAGAGACTGAAGACTGAAATGCAGGACAAATCAGTATTTAARGAAGGTTTTAAAATAACCCCAAAACTACAGCTCATTCTCAAATGACAAATATTTGTTTCCTCCTATCACTCCATCAAAACAAGGAATTGATTTCTAACAAAAAAAAAACCCAAAGGCACACATCAACTCTGGTGCCTGTTGTAAATTCAGATGCTTGTGGCACAATAGAGCTTTGTCTATAAGGCATTTCTATTCTTACTTAAAGTTATAAAAAATCAGATCATCAAAGCTCAAATATTATTTTGTAAAACACTCTAAAAACTACAGCTGAAATAAAAAAATAGTAAAAATATTTCCATCTCACCCAAAACTAGCTGTGGCCAGTATGTTATTCTCTTCATCAGAGGGTAGGTGATTACAAGGGACAAAGAGGCTGCTCCCAGAATGATACTGCAAAAAGTACCAAGAGGATTATTGTTTGCCATGCTAAAGATCAACAGATGTATTGCAGCATTACACACAGGAGATGCACATGGTACATGGCACTAGTTCTTTTATTTTCAAATAYAATTCCATGACTAACAACCTCCTCCTTCTGTCTCCAACACCTTTTCTGCTCAAAATCTCTGTGCTTAACCCAGGATCCAGAATCAGACTGTGGAAACCAAAAGATAACTCATACATCACCTGTAGTAGTTCAGACACAGAAGCACACASAGTGCCAGGCTGAGCTGTCCCCCAAGGAAAACCAAGGACTGAAAAGTGGARATATCTCCAGCTGCCAGAGGTCTGCTTGCTGTTCTTGCAACCTAAAAAATGGAAATAATATAACCACCAGGTACATCTGTAAYTGATGGGCAATTTACAAGATTTGTTTCCTGTTTTCTGGGGAGAAATGAAAGGGCCCTAATTCTGTTGATAACTTTTGTTTCTCTCTAATGGCATTTTTAGAACCCGGTTTCACCGATCTGGAGTTAATGGTTGTGAAAAGACAATTATCCTAGTTGGGATACAGTGGAGTTTAGAAACTCTGTCTGGAACAAGAAATTATACAAGGTAAATTGAAGAAAGGAATAGATATCAGGAAAAAATGTTAAATGAATGGTGAGTTACTTGCCAAAGGTGACCAATGCCAAAAACCCCTCAAAAATCTGAAATTAACCTCAACAGGAGGAAGAACTTCTTTACACTGAGGGTGGCAGAGCACTGGAACAGGCTGCCCAGRGAGATTGTGGAGTCTCCCTCTCTGGRGGCATTCCAAACCKACCTGGACRTTGTTCCTGTGTCACCTGCTCCAGGTGACCCTGCCTTGGCAGGGGATTGGACTKRATGAWYTCCAGARGYKCCTTTCAACCCTAACAATTCTGGAGAATTTCATATTGATGAAAATGCTGTCAAGTCTATTCCAAGAGGTTCAAAAGTCAACCTTTTACAGAATATTACATACATATAAGGAGTCTTGCACATGCTTTAATAATCTGAATGTCAATAAACTTTCAGCTTGTTCTCCTCATCGCTATCAGGTTATGTTAAACACCAAATACTGTTTTTGCAGTTGAAACATGCATTTAACAAATCTGTCACCAATTCCACTGCACAGTGAAACCAAATGTGGGATGCTTCATTTACAGAAAACATCTTCCAGATAATCAGTAACACAAAATCTAAACCACCATCACCTACATCAGCCAACATCCTGCTGTTGGCCTGGTCTCTATGGCACTTGTGTTGAAGCTAGCCTTTTAAGGTACCCCAGAAAAATCTGTGCAGGCAATTTTTAAAACTTTCCATCTAGCAACACAATAAAACACATAAATTAAATCATTATATTGAAATTCCTTCTAACTTATCACACCCCCACACCAATGTTTAGSATATGCAGCTGTTAACACCTTCCAAACCCTAAACCATCTAAAGCTGCCACAAACCCCTTTCTGATTCCCTGCCTTCCCAACAGCACAAATACAACAGTGCTGTGCTAAGAAGTCCAAATATTGGACTGGCTCATTATCTGTGTCTGGCAGGGCCGAAACCCAAACCCCAAAACCAGAGGAACAATACAGGAACAGAAAACAGGACAAGCAAACAGTGACGCATCACCAGGATATTCTCCACCAAGCCTGCACCTGTGCACATTTCAAAATCTGACACTGGGCCCTGCCTTTTGCTTATTTCCCTCTTCTGAACAAATGGGAGATGATAAATGAAAAATAAAACACAATAGAAGGGGATTAGCTCAGGGCTGGGCATGATACTCTGAACAACCAAAATTAACAATAATACAGTACAAGGAAACACTGCTCCTAAAATTAAGAATAAAAAATTATTGTTCCTGGATAGATTGTAACTAGCAAGTGTAGCAAAAAAGTGTTAGTTGTTTTGTTCTGTCATGCAAAACATCATTGAGAAATAAACTTGTTCAAGTACTACCTACAACTGACAACAGCATGTATTTTATCTTACAGAGATGAGTATTGTAGAAGACTAATTACAGTCCTGGACAGAGAAATGTTATACAAAATAAAATAACTTCTATTATTTTAGGAGGAAATGTAGACAAATTAATTGTGTGCATCTCAGACAGAAACATGGAGGAAATCCTGAACCTGGAGCCTGCACTCCGCAAAGAATCACTGTTGATGTTCATGTACTTCAGTGCCTYCAAGATCCTTGGTGCCTGGCCAAGAAAAAACAGCATCTGTCAGGCGGAATCTCCCTYTCTGGAGACATTCCAGACCCAGTTGGATRCATTCCTRTGTAACCTGCCCTAGCTGAATTTGCCTTGGCAAGGAGGTTGAACTAGATGATCCCCGAGGTCCCTTCCAACCCCAAAAATTCTGTTGAGTCTGTTGTGATGGAGATGAGCGGGCATGTGCTTGGTTCACTGAATCACAGAAGGGCTTGGGCTGGAAAGGGACCCTGAAGATCACCTTGTTCCAACCCTCGTGCCGTGGGCAGAGACACCTGTCACTAGATCAAGTTACTCGGAGCCCCATCCAACTTGGCCTTGAACACTTGCAGGGATGGGTCATCCAAAACTACTCTGGGCAACCTGTTCCAATTCCTGACCATCCTCACGGTGAAGAATTTCTTCCTCATACCTAACCTAAACCTCCTCTCTTTCAGTTTTAAGCCATTCCGCCTCGTCCTGTCACTACGTGCTGGTGCGAGCAGCCTTGCCCCACGCTCCTCTACCTGTCTGTCATAGTCGCGGTCCCACATGTCATTGATGGTGCAGCCGGCCCCCCTCATGAGCACGGCTCCCACGCCGAACAGGGACAGCATGCGCCAGTCCGGGAGGCAGCCGGGCGCGGCCGCCAGCCCGATGCTCCAGGTGCACGGCAGGTACAGCAGCCACGTCCCTGCGTGGAGACAAAACCCGCGGGCGGGCTCAGCGGGGAACGGGAGCCCCAGCGGGGCACGGGGCCCGACCCTCCCCGGAGCGCTCACCGGCGGGCTGGTGCAGCCGCATGAGCCGCAGGTAGGGCTGCAGCGGGGCCGGCGCGGAGCGCACCAGCTCGGCCGCCGAGAAG